GAGAAATGTTGCTAGTAAGGAAAGGAGGGCAAAAAATGTGTTTTAAATCACTGATCAATATAAAATAAATATACCTACTTCCAGGAAAAATTTTACTGTAGCACTCCGAGGGAAATTTAGACAAAAATTACCATATGGATCAAACAATTACTGTGGAGACTGAGTTTCCAGAATGACAAAACTTGAGAAACTCTAAGATTTTCCTCACACCAAAGCACAGGGAAAATTATTTTTCCCTAAAGTTCAAATGTGCAGAGGCACACTCCTGGAGTGGTTCTACAGGGTTTATGACATTTATAGATTTTATTTAGAAGTACTCTGAGCCCTTCAAGTTATATAGGTGGCTTCAAAGTCGAAGATAACATCAAAATGGATGATAAATTTGGCATGAATAAGTCACTTGAAAATGTCATAGTAAGAAAGGGAGACATGAGACTGAATTGATAAGAAATTAAGAGCAAACAAACACATAATTCTAAAACCACAACATATTTATTATCTTCTTGTGAGGTACAAAAAGTGTACCTTTTATAACTTTAGGGGGCTCATAAAAGTTTTAAAAATAATAAGCAGCGATTTATTGAGTGTTTACTACTTGTCAAACTATTGTGTTGAGTCCATTAGTATATTTTTACTGTAGGTGCCTATTTAAATTCACCAGATTTACAAAACCAGCTACCGGAGAATGACCCGAAACATAAACACAACCATTTTCCTGATTCTGCTTTGCCGTTAATAAGGTTTTCACTGTGATACAAACTTTTCGTTTGAAAATAGCAATCACACCTTCCCTGGCAAAGACAATAATAGTTTGGCAAAGTGATATCCAAATTACCAGTCACAATGCCAAAAACTGTGCCATGGATGACATTAGCAGCTACGGTGTCTTACGATGTATCTAGTATAGTGCTTTATATGCTCAGCCCCCTGTATCCACAGCTTCTGGATAATGGGGCCACAGACTAAAAAAGTCCAACTGTACTGAATAAGTACAGACTCTTTTTTCTTGTCATTATTCTTTAAGCAATATAGTCCAACTATTACTTATGTGGCATATACATTGTATTAGGTATTATAAGTAATGTGGAGATTAAAGTATATGAGAAGGGGTGGGCATTTGCCCTATTGGGCAATTTCGATGTCTTTGTCCCCCATCAAAGTGCCTGGAATAGACTCCTGGCTAGGGCTCCTGACTCAGGTTTCCCGCTAATACAGACCTTGGGAGACAGTAGTGATGAACCTAGTAATTAAGTTCCTGCCACCCATGTAGGAGATCTGTACTGAGTTCCCTGCTCCTGGCTTCAGCCTTTATGGCCACTGCAGGAATTTAGGGAGTGAAGCTGTAGATGGGAGATCACTTGCTCTCTCTTTCTCTCTCTCTCTCTCTCTCTCTCTCTCTCTCCGCCCCCCGCACTCCTGCCTCTCAAACAAATATTATTAGAAAATAAACATGGGTCCAGAGTAATGGCCCAGTGGGTTAAGCCACCACCTATATACCAGTATTCCATATGGGTGCGAGTTCGAGTCCTGGCTGCTCTGTTAATGCATCTGGGAAAGCAGCAGAAGATGGCCCAAGTCCTTGGGCCCTGCTACCCACATAAGAAGCTGGGATGAAGCTTCTGGGTCCTGGCTTCGTCCTGGCCTAGCCCTAGCCATTGCAGCCATTTGGTGAGTGAACAGCAGACGGAAGATCTTTCTCTCTCTCTCTCATTCTGTATCTCTGCCTCTCAAATAAAATAAAAAAATTAAAAGAAATTAAAATTAAAAAAGTAAAAATGAAGTACATGGGAAATGTGTGCAGATTAAATGCAACTACTATGCTACTTTATATGAGGGTTTGAGCATCTGTGGATTTTGATATCTGCAAGGGGTTTTGGGACCAATCCCCTGAGAATATAAAGGGAAGACTGCACACATGGGTAGGTAGGTGGGTATGCTTTTTTTTTTTTTTTTTTTTGACAGGCAGAGTGGACAGTGAGAGAGAGAGACAGAGAGAAAGGTCTTCCTTTTGCCGTTAGTTCACCCTCCAATGGCCGCCACGGCCGGCGCGCTGCAGCCAGCGCACCGCACTGATCCGATGGCAGGAGCCAGGTACTTATCCTGGTCTCCCATGGGGTGCAGGGCCCAAGGACTTGGGCCATCCTCCACTGCACTCCCTGGCCACAGCAGAGAGCTGGCCTGGAAGAGGGCAACCGGGACAGAATCTGGCACCCCGACCGGGACTAGAACCTGATGTGCCGGCGCTGCAAGGCGGAGGATTAGCCTAGTGAGCCGTGGCGCCGGCCTTTTTTTTTTTTTTTTTTTTTGGGGTATGCCTCTCTACATATAGTTCTAATTCCCAACACAATCCTGCAAGGTGGCTTAAGATTTATTTATTTATTTGAAAGGCAGTGTAACACACACACACACACACACACACACAGAGGTCATCCATTCACTGGTTCAGTTCCTAAATGGCTGTGACAGTTGAGACTGGGCCAGATGGAGCCCAGAACCCCATCTAGGTCTCCTACATGGGCAGCAGAGACCCAAGCACAAGGGTCATCTGCTGCTGCTTTCTTAGGTACATGAGCAGGGAGCTGACTTGGAAGTGGAGCAGATGGGTCTTGAACCAGCACTCAGACGGGATGCTGGCAGCACAGGCAATGGCTTAACCTGCTGCGCCACAATGCCAGCCCCTTAAGATGTTTTTACAGATGGAGAAAGTGAGGTTTCTAGAGATTAGGCAATGTACCAAAGGTTTTGTCACTAAGTGGCAAAATGAGAAGATGAGCTGGAGAGCTTCTGAGTTAATTAAACGAGAACAGGGTAAGTCAACAGATCTAGTGAAAGAAAAAGAGGGCTTAGGACACATACAGGTTAGCCTTGGCTTGTGGGTCAACACTCACCTGCCAAGTATGCCTACTTATCCTCTGAATATATTTATTTTTATTGTATTAATTTATTTATTTGAGAGGCAGAGTTACAGACAGAGAGGGGGAGAGAAACACACACACACACAGAGAGAGAGAGAGAGAGAGAGAGAGAGAGAGAGGTCTTCTATTTGCTGGTTCACTCCCCAAATGGCTGCAATGGCCAGGGCTGGGCCAACCCAACAACAAGAACCAGGAGCTTCTTCTGGGTCTCCCACGTGGGTGCACGGCCCCAAGCACTGGGCCATCTTCCACTGCTTTCCCAGGCCATTATCAGGGAGCTGGATCAGAAGTGAAGCAGGCGGGACTCAGAACTGGTGCTGTTGATATAGGAGGCCAGTGGTACAGGTGGAGGCTTTAACTTACTACGCCTCAGTGCTGGCCCCCTCCACTGAATTTAAAGGTTAACTTTGCCTTCCCAAACTTCCTCATCATAATTACTGTGGCTTGAAATTTGCATGTAAAATACTGTGATTATTATAAGAAAGACTATATGAGCTTTCAAACCTGAAACAGGTTAGAATGCTAGCTCACCAACTCACCAGTTATTTAAACAGTTTTGGTGTTCTTGCTGTGAAGTATTTCCTGTCTCTAGACTTCATGAAATTAAACAACTTATATTATGCACAATTATATGTTTTAAAGCAATGTATATCTTTTAAACATTTCAATTTCCCTAATTACGTTTCTTTAGAGAGCAAGATATTAGTTAATAATTACACAAACTAATCTTAGAGATAACATAATAATATAGATCACAGATTAATATAATTTTTCTCTAAATTATGTGATCTAGTTGGTTTTTAACAAATTGTGTGACAAGTGAACTGTTTCTAGTTAAGAATAGCTACTGTTTTTGGTATTTTATGAGAGTCTCCTTCATGATAAAATAATTTGACTTGCTTGGTCAAATTTCCTGCAAGTATCTAGTATTTTGGCAACTCGGGGTCTTCCCCTAGGAAAATAACACATATATTAAGGTGTGCATTTCAGAGCACATTCTGGTTGGTGATAGAAGCCTCTGCCTTCTTGTGAGCAGAAAGAACCAGGCTCCTGAGTTCTCTGATTCCCCCAAAGCTTCAGGATGTGGATTTTAGCAGTTAGGATAGCTTGTAGATGCAGGAATGCTAGATGGGACTCAGAGTGATCAGATACGCTCTGATCTGCCTGCAATTTGTTCTGAATGAGACATCTAAGTCAGTAGTTAGCTGAGCCATATTTTTTGCTCTGTGTAAATCAAACTGAGTTACAGAAAAATAAGATACCCAGGCTATTTTTCATCATGTAATGTGATATTTGCCTTCTGTTATGTGAATATTGCCTTTTATATTTCAATTCAAAGTGATTCTGTTCAATGTCATTCATTCATTTATAAAAGAGGAAACTATAGTCCAAGTAGGTCAAATAAATTTGTCCAAGATTCCACAGATACTGCCAGAGCTGAGATGAGGACTCAGGCTTCTTGCAATTTAGAATATAAAATAATTTATTCATTGAGAAAAACTGATAAGAAAATGCATAGAAAAATGTCATTAAGATCTTAATCAATGGTTTTAAGAGAGAATTATACCTATAAAATGAACAATGGCTGTCATATTAAAGTAATTTTATAAGAATTAAAGCATGATTTTATTTCAAAATATAATCTATTTTCATTTTTATATATACACATTTTGTCTATTACCATTTGACCTAAAGACAGCTTTTCTGTGTTCATGGAGAACTATGATAATATATTAAAATGTGTTAACTTATCAATATAACATTTTTAAAGTGCTTGATTTATCTGTATCATTTATTAAACTAATTGCTATCTTGATCTTTGTTTTCTGGAATTTCAGTCTTCAATTCTATACATTAAAAAAAATCAAACAATAGTACACTTCAATAATCATGCAAAAACATCAAAGTATCTGTATGGACAAACAAGAAAATGTCCACATAGTGAAAATATTTTCATAGAAAACTTGTATCAACAGAGAATAACTTTTATTATTAGACCACAACATAGTGAAGATGCTATTTTTAAGGAGAAATTACAGTAATCATACAAACAGTGCTCTGAAAATATTTTATGACATTACCTACCTGCTTTTTTTAGAGATTTGATCCATCTTCTTGACTAATGTACGGAACTCTTCCATCAACTTTGTCAAAAATGTATTCTGGGAGGTCATCAGTGAATACTGTTCATTTTCTAGAAATAACAATAAACCCCCACCAACATAAGATGTTTGTGGTTGTAGCTGTGCAGTGCTTCCACAGGTAGAGTGGGACAATGCCTTAGACTACTACACATTTCCTGTTAGCCACCAGATCACTTTCAATATCCTCAGTTAAAGGACTTATCATCTGGTAAGACATTAAATCTTGTGAGACATTTATTTTCATAATAATTATATACCAGAAACACTTTTGATCATACCAGCTTGGTGTAAATGTTTTAGCATGTTAATAAATTGTCAAATACCTCAAATGGAGTACTAGATGCTTATATCTTTGTAATATGCAAGATATTATATTTTATTTTGACAATTTTACTATAAACAGTGTCAAAAATTCTCACCACCAGACAATTAAAAACTAAAATAATTGAGGAACTTTCTTCTACACTATAATCATTGCTTTATTTTTCTTATTTGCTCACACAGTTTACCACCCCTTGCCCAATTTTGCACATATTTCTTTGATTATGGAGGTGAACTATGTAAGTTTCCCTCAGATTTTGATTTTATTGTCAACAGCTTGCACTTCAGTGAAAATGTAGTCAAAGAAATTGAAGACAGTGTGCTTTTGTAAATCAAAATTAAAAGTGTTCTTAAGGTGGTTTTAACAGTTAAAACTTATTTAGCCCCAGATCCTGCTCAAGGCTCTTTGATCATTAGAATCCCATAGCAGTGGGGGCAAAGAAAAACTTCTCCTATAATTTCCTCATTTTGTTTTTAATGGAAAGATGTCTCCTGGACCTGGTGAAATTTCATTTCTTCTGACCCAATGCTGTTAGAAGAAAATCTCTACTGAATATGCTGGAGAGAATTATGAGAGTCAATATGACATTTCCTCCTTATAAGTTAGAAAATTATTTAATAAATTTTATGTTAGCAATTTTTCACCTATAGGATAAGAAACTATTTTTTACTATGTCATCAAATATACATTAAGTCATGAGAAAGCTATCGCTACGTGTAAGTTCTAATAGGTCTTTTATTTCTTTTCAGTTCTAGCTAATGATTGGTGAAAAGCATATAGCATACAAAGCAAAATAAATCAAAGCACTAAAATTAAGCAACATTTTTTTCTGGAAGAGAGAGGATCAATTAAACTTTTGTTTTAATAGTACAATCAGCATGGAGTATGTGGTGTGGAATTATAATGACTGACACTGTCTTGTTTTGACTAACACTGTCTGTGAACACACAACTCAAAAGTGAAAGGAACTACATAATGCTCTGACTGAACAAATCAAACTGCCTATTTTCAAAGTGCATTTTACTTTCAAATTAAAGGTAAAGAGTTACTGGCCAACTCAGTCTGCAGAAGAGTGCCAATGTGATGAAAGATGGCAATTTTTAGCCAAGCTGCCAGCTGTGGTCAATGCCTTGTATTAGTGAATTTTAACAGCAGTTGTGAGAACTTGAAGAATGCAAAGGATTAAACATCACTCTAGACTGGATTGGGGGAGGTGGGGAAATCATACAAATGCTAAAAATGTTCGAAGCTGCAAAGATTAAATAAAGGAACATATCAATTTGGAGCCACTGAATTACATCCAGCTGCGACAGTGAATTAAGAACCGATTAATGGCTAAAGCTTTTCTCCAGTTTGGATGCTGAAGCAAACTCATTAGGCTTTTAGAGTAGCTATAATGTGTGTACTGTGGGAACTGTTCAATGCTATTCAGGAGACTCTAACTGTAAGCTCAGAGCATTTCCCGCAGAGCTTCTGATGCTATTTTCTTTATATAACATGTGTGCCTGAAAACCCAGCCAAAAACAAGCCCTTTGTTTTTCTACTTTGTTGTGGTCTCTCTCAGCTTTACGTTTCTTGAACACAGGTAAATAAACTCATAATCCAGATGGTGCAACAGATGTGAGAGCAGCACTCTGAAATCAACAGACAGTGGGCAATACTTTCCATTTTCTCTTTTAAACGCTAACTAATATGTAATTCGGAATCTCCGGTGTAGTTAGCATCTGCTCCCTTCGGCCAGCCAAAGGTTACAGGTGTTCCTGATGTCATTTCACAGTAAGGCGTGGGCCTGGCTTGTGAGTGAGTGCCCAGGCTCTAATCTTTCCCTACCACCTACCAGTTTTGTCATGCTGGGCTTCCATTTGCTGTATCTTCTGTGTCAGCTCCTGCTCTCTTTGCAGGGCCTGAAGGGCTTGGGCCTTTGCTTCGTTGCTAAAGCTCTGCTGAATACTACCTTTTTCCAGTCTGCAAAACAGAGAGGAGACATACAGAAATGTCATCTGCAGACGCACAAAAGACTGTCATTTCCCCTATAAAACATGGGGAGCTGATATGTAGTAAATTGTTAAGCTAAGAAGACAACACTCCACAGATTGCCTCTTTAGGAGGAAAATCCAGAGGGCCATGCTAAATATATGCTATCAGCCCAAATGGACTACGGTTCACGGCTTCAAACATCAAAAACATCATGACCACTGACTAATGGTATTTTGTGATTTTAAAGCACAGCCACCTTTTCCCTGCAAAATTCTTAATGTTTTACACTAACAATTGATCTTTCATAGTATGAACGATCACTATTTCTTAAAGACCCTGAAATTCCAGGAATAGCGTGACTTAGTTGTCAAATTAAGCAAAATTTAAATTCTTAAAACTAAGCTTTGTAAACCACTTTTCTTTTTTCTCCAAGATATAAAATGGAATCTCAAATATAATGCAAGAGACTTTATACATGGACAAGTAAATGATTCTGCAGTACCACGTGCATATTTTCATTAAATATTTTTGCATATCAGGCCATATAATGTAAATATAAATATGAATATGGAAGTGAGTAACCTCCTTCAACACTTCATAATGAAATTCTTCTTCAGTCACCTTGAAAAACTTACAGAATGATAATCTTCCATAGTCAAAGACATTATCCCATCCCACTGTGATATCCCATTATCCCATTGGGTCACTATCCAATCACAGTGGCTCCTAAAGACAGAAAGTTCCTGAAAATTAGAACCTGAGCAATGCAAAGAGCTTCACTGCTGGCAGCACTATGGATACTTACTGTGTGTGTGTTTGTGTTTGTGTGTGTATCTGTACCCCCCACCCTGCACAAAGTTGGTTGTTCAAACTCTAAATATGGGTAGGTGATATTGAGGCTTCCTTCAATTAACTGACTCAGTTATTTTTTTTAACTCCTGATCTCCTTGTGGGCACTTCTCATCCATGCTGCTTTAGTTTACTAATTGAGATATTTACTGCCTAGCCTTTGCCAAACTAAAAATAAACAGTTCCATAAAGCTATCACTACCAGTCTATGTACCGCTGTGGAACTTCAATTCACTGGCTTCTAATTATAAAGCAACATAAGGAAAGCCTGTATTGAAATTGGTCAATGCATGTGGTAATGTTGTAGTGTAAAATTCTAGAATGAAAATACTCCCACACCTCACTCAAATGGAATCATCAGGGGTCCCTGCTAAATGTGACATGAGGTCCCTTCTGGTACTTCTAACAACAACACCCCCCTGGATGTGGTCCAAGGTCTTGTCTCACACTCAGTTCCAAACTAGTATATTGCAACAAATGGACAGTCAGACGAGGCTACTTTTGCCTCCCTAGTCACACCTCGCATTTTCTGGCCATAGACCATCGCACATGTCCCTTCTTCCTGGAATGCTCCCTCGCCAAGCCGATCTCCTGTACAACGTTTACTGCCCCTTTAAAGCCTACTCAGATTTTCCTCTCTCCTTTTTCTCTCACCTAAATTATCTAGTCTTTCCTCAGTGACCTCAATACATGGGGTTTTCAAAATGTTCATGGAAAATGCACATTCTGAAGACTACTATGTATGGATTTCAATTTTTTTGCACCAAAATAACTTACATTTTAACCGAATATGAATATGTTGTATATGTTGTATATTACCAACAAAGATAACAATTATCATGCTTTAGTTACAGGTTTACATGTCTGACTCTTGTCATTGTTTCTCTATACCCTTAGCCCAGCTCTGTATTGGACATATAGGCAGCGGGCAGTGAATGTTTGATGATTCTTCTATCATTGCCATAGGAGAAAGGAAAGCTGCAGTCTTCAAGAGAAACTGGAGAATTTGCTCAAGTGTTATGTGAGGGGGAAAAAACTCTTCAGACCCATTAGAAAAGAGTGCCTAGAAGAGGATGGCGTTAATGGTTTTGCCAGCTAGAAACCATGTATTTAAGGAGCACTGTGGATTCTTTCACTGAGTAACCATTCCCAAGTCAGACCTCCTAGAACAGGGAATATAGGCAGGGAGAACCAGGGTTCTGAGAACCCCCAAGAAATTGAGTAACCACAAAATGCACTGTCCAAAATCCATTTGACAATGAAAGGGGGAATTATTAATAATTACTCCAAGATTCTAGTCTTACTCAACTACTCATTACAAACTGGGACTTCACACTTCCCCACCTGAGGGAGGGGGCTGATCTTACAATCAAGTTTTAGAATGAGAAGCTGCCTAATTAGTAACTCTGTAAATTGACCCTATAAAACTACTTCTGTCTTTATTGTAGTTTTCCTTATAAAACATCAGTTTATGTTTCTTGAATCCTTCACTAAGTTTCACTTTATTTGAGAAACTGTTCTTTTTCATTACATAAAAGCATGACATATTCTTGTCTTCCTATTCCTTTTTCTTGCCCCTTTTCTTCTATGTTGTGTTCTCCCCTTGTAGGTTCTTTTTGACTTGGTAGGCTTTTTATAAACTTCAGGATTTTATAACAGAAAGGGAACCATGGCCGGCACCGTGGCTCACTAGGCTAATCCTCTGCCTTGCGGCGCCGGCACACCGGATTCTAGTCCCGGTCGGGGCGCCGGATTCTGTCCTGGTTGCCCCTCTTCCAGGCCAGCTCTCTGCTGTGGCCAGGGAGTGCAGTGGAGGATGGCCCATGTCCTTGGGCCATGCACCCCATGGGAGACCAGGAGAAGCACCTGGCTCCTGCCATCGGATCAGCGTGGTGCACTGGCTGCAGCGCGCCAGCCGCAGCACGCCGGCTGTGGCGGCCATTGGAGGGTGAACCAACGGCAAAGGAAGACCTTTCTCTCTGTCTCTCTCTCTCACTGTCCACTCTGCCTGTCAAAAAAAAAAAAAAAAAAAAAAAAAGAAAAAAAAGAAAAAAAAAAGAAAGAAAGAAAAGAAAGGGAACCGCAAATTTGTTTCACCAAATGCTCTTACTTTAAAGCTGAAATACACATACACACATACAAACACACATACACACATATAACCTCTGAGGCCCATAAAAATTTTAAAATCTTTTCATCAGGTTATATTGTGAGTGATTTACAAATAATGACAGAGGTGAGAGTAAAAATATTTTTTATTCAGGAGGCCTATTTTATAAGACTCCAGAGTTAATGCAATAATTGGGAATTAATAAACTATTTCATGAAATAATGAATGAATTAATAAAAACTTCACTTAGTCAAAGAAGGAGCTGGAAAAAAATCAAGATCAATCCATTAAATATTTGTCATAACTATTATATTAAAAAACACCCACTGCTAGGCCCTAGGTCAAATGAAGATAAATGAGGCATAGACCTTGTTTCTACTCAGGAGTTCAAAATGACCCAAACAAACAGCCAGGTAGATGGTAAAGTATACCCTAAAAAAGGTGCAAGAGGAAAAAAACAATCACAGCATAGAAAAATGAGGGAGTCAATTCTAGCTGGGAGTGTGAGAGCCTCGTGAAGAACAGCTAAGCCCATCTCCCCAACTGGGTTTCTTTCAGTTCTCACTCAAAATATTTATGATCTTAATTAACCAACTCATAAGTAGCTCTATTTTACAACTTGGAATAAAAGCAATGACAGTAAAGAAGAATTTCTTGGTAGTTACTAAAATGGGGCAGAAGCATTTAGTCACAATTGCTGAAAACTAAAAACAACTTAAATTTCTATCAATTATGAAATGAATAAACATTGTCGTACACCCTTACAATACAGTACTAGGAATACTAGCAATGAAAGGATGGAGTAGGGTGGGCACTTGAACTAGCAGTTACTATTTCAATTAAGATATCATGTGACATATCAGAATGCCTGGGTTTGATTCTCCACTCCTGAGTCCAGCTTCTTGCCAATGAGACCCTGGGAGGCAGCCGGTTTTGCCACTCATATGGGAGGAGACCTAGATTGAGTTCCCAGCTGCTGGTCCCATCCATTGCTCAGTCCAAGTAGTGGACATTTGAGGGGTGACCTAGTGGTTGGGGGCTCTGCTATGTCTCTCCGTGCCTCTCAAAAAAAATAATAAAAGGATAAGCTACTGTTAATGAAACCTTTGTATAAATCTCAAAAATAGTACATTTAAAAGAAGCTAGACACCAAAGACTTATTTTCTGATTTCATTTACATGACATTCTAGTAAAGTCAACAACAGAATGACACAGAATAGATTTGTGTTGCTAAGACCTGGAAGTAAGGAAAAGGCATGAGGAAATAGCGGCATGCGGGAACTTCTTTGGGTTGATAGAAATGTTTTATGTCCTATTTATGCTAATTTTATATAACTGCATACATTTGTGAAGACACATTTAACTGCACACTTAAAATTGGTGACTTTGGGGCTGGTGTTGTGGCACAACAGGTTAAAGTGCCACCTGCAATGCTGGCATCTCATATGAACACTAGTTCAAGTCCTAGCTGCTCCACTTCCAATCCAGCTTCCTGCTATTTTGTCTAGGAAAGCAGAGGAAGATGGACCAAGCCCTTGGGTCTCTGAACCTATGTGGGAGACCCCTGTGAGGCTCCTGGCTCCTGGCTTCAGCCTAGCCCAGCCCTGGTTGTTGCGGCCATTTGGGAAGTGAACAAAAATTAAAGATCTCTCTCTCTCTCGCATGCACATGTTCTGTTTCTTCCTCTGTGTAGCTCTGCCTTTAAAGTAAATATTTTTTAAATGCTTTGAATAATTTACATTCCTGATCCTCAACTTTTCCATATCATTTGTTATTTTAGATCTCACTATTTAAAAAATGTCCATATCATAGATTTTTTTAAAAAGGACATTTTTAATTTTATAGGTAGATAGAGGGATCAAGAGTTTCTGATGATTCTGAAGTTCAGCAGTGAGCCAGCACAGAAATGAGGAAAGCTTCTTCGAGTCTGAGAACCAGGACCTGGTAGTGGCAGTGACTGTGGCAGCAATTCCACCTGCTAAATTTCAACTCCCATTTTTACTCATGTCTGAACTGCTAGTATTAGAAA